AAACAGCGCGTCGTGATAAAAGGATCCGATAAAGTAGAAACAAAAACATTCCTCAGCATTAAGGATCTATGTTAACAGTGATGGCTAACATCACACTCATACAACGGTGAATGACTTAGAAGCTTTTCCTCTAAGATCAGGAACAAGACAAGGACATCTGCTCTGTTTCTAAAAACATATTACTAGAAGTCCTAGCAAGAATACATGGGCAGAAAAAGAGATTAATGATCTCTTTTGAGAAACAACATGATCTAATATGTAGAATACCACGAAGGATCTGCAAAAAAGTTGCTAGAAATGATGAAGGAACTCAGAAAAATTACAAGATATAAAATCAGCAAGCAAAATTCAATTGTGTTTCTATACATTAACACTGAAGAAAATCAAAAATGAAATTTAGAAAATAACTCCATTTACCATCAAAAAAGAAATAAAATTCTTGAAATAACCTTATATAACAAGGGAAAGACTTGTACAATGTAAACTAAAAACAAAGCATTAAAAAATATTAGAAAATACACAAATTAATGCAGTGATATCTCAAGTTCATGCACTGGAAGTCAATATTCTCAAGATGTCAGTACTACCCAAAGCGATCCAGAGTCAACACCATCCTTGCAAAACCCCAATACTGTTTCTTGAACAAACAGATTAATCCATCCTAAGATTTATATACAATCTCACAGTATCCTTGATCGCAAAAATAAGGTAAAAAAGAACAAACCTAGAGGCTTCACAATTATGTCAAAATTACTACAAAGCTGAACTACTCAAAGCCGTGTGGTACTGGCATAAAGACAGACAGAGAGACCAGTGGAACAGAGCAGGGACGTCAGAAATAAACTCTTGCATTTATGATTACATGAAGTTCCACAAGGCAGTGAGGACCACTCAGTGGCGCACGGATAGTTTATTAAACAAAACAAATGATGGTTCACTATGGAAGGTATCACTCCACTTCATAAACCCTTCTCAAAGATGCTTCAAAATTAGGCGCCGAGGTAGAATGAACAAAGGCACATGCAGGTGACAAAGAATATGCCGTTACTAACACTTTACTCAACAGCCTCACAAACAGGAAGCTGTGAACTTGGTCGCCAGGAGAAATCCTCATACCACCTACGGAGACTGAAAGGGCGTGGTCGTTACTACGTGTGAGAGCACTGTCACAGAGCCCTTGAGACATGCATTTGTGACATTCCTCAAAAACAAACAAAAAAATTAAAAAGACTTACACGTCTGGCTCTCCTGATACTTAAAAAAATTTTTTTTCAATTTGTTTTTTTTCGCAGGGGAGATAATTAGTTCTATTTATTTATTTACTTCGGGAGGAGGTACCGGGGACTGAACCCAGGGCCCCGTGCAAGCGAAGCAGCGCTCTACTGCTGAGCGCCACCCTCCCGCTTCTCCCGCTGCTTCCGGCCTCGCGTGGTGGGGCACGCTGACCGCTCCACTAAGCAGCTTCAAGTGCGGGTGTTACACACGGCAGAAAAATACTGTAACATATGCGGGAAAGTATTCTCCTCCAAAATTCTCCGTTACCCAGTAACGTCACTCCATAGAGTTGGCCAGAGGTTGTCCATTAACTCAGGGCACCTCATCACAGCAAGGAAACTGGATAAAATCTCAGGCTTTAGCACTACGTATATCAAAAGCAAATTTCAGAGGAATAATCACGCAAACTTAGGAGAGGAAGAAAATAGGAAGAGTAGACGTTCCATGACTAGGCTGAGCAGCACAGACCCAACAAAATACAAGACAGGTGGGTCGGACGTCGCAGGACCCCGCGAGGAAGCCGCGCTCCGCGCACCGACGCGGAGCCGGGCCTGAGGGACCCACGCCCACCCGACCAGGGACGGGGCATGAAAAAGAGCATCTCTGTCCACTGCCCTTATACTCATCCTAAGTAATAATTACAAAAGATCCAATCCACCCGGCGGCTACCACAGCCCTGAACTGTGTGGGAAAAGCAGGAAAAGAGCAAGGGCTGAGGGATGGCAACGAGCAGACGGGACCTGAGACAGCTCCACGCAGGTCTGAGGTGGCAGGTGGGACCAAAGAGCAGCCAGTGTGTTCCCATTTTGTGATTAGGTCTTCTAAGAATAGCCAACCGGGAGGGAACTGGGCAAGGTCGTGGGATTGGAGTTTGGAGGCAACAGCTTTGATCTACATGCACTGAGATCAGAGCATCCAGTGGAATCCTACCCTGAAGGAGGAATGAGGGGTGAGAGACCTCGAAAACAGAGCCTGCCCCACACTCCTCAAGGTCAAGTAACAAGTTCACAGGAGCCACATGACAGCATGTAGATCATGCTACTTTGTCTCTGGTGGAGCCGCAGCACCACTGAAGGATGAAAGAACAGTTTACAGAAGGGTAAGTTACAGAGAAAAAAATTTCCTCTGAGAGTTTACAGTAATGAGTAAACGTCTATATTCCCACAGAAGTCTCTGAGGAGGGGAGAGTTTCCCAAACACTATCTTAAAAAAAATTTTTTTTGGGTGGGGAAGTAGTTAGGTTTACTGATTTACTTATTTTTGGAGGAGGTACTGGGGATTGAACCCGGACCCCATGCATGCTAAGCATGTGCTCTACCACTTGAGCTACACCCTCCCCACCTCAAACACTTTTAATAACAAGGCTTCTCTGCCCTTCTGAGGTCTGACCAGTGTTCACATATCGATCCATCACCAAAGGCATTCACTTCACTCTTCACAGCCCAGGGCTCTTTCTCTTACTACAAAGTGGTAAAACATTCAGATGAGAAACAGAAATTCCCTTACAAAAGAAAAAATACGATTTGCTGTGACTTTTCCAGACTCTTACTTATCTGTTCAGCTGAGGATTAAGGACATTACCAATGGATCTAGAAAAATATTTCAAAATTTTAGCCACTGTCTGCCTCCTTCTGAATATACAGGGACAGTATAATATGCAGAAATGTAGCTGACCTCCTAGAAGTGCTAACTCAAAAGCTCTGGAGAAGAAAACTGGAAAGTCTGCCATTAAGCTTGATACATACAAAACCTCTGGAACAACCCCTGATGTTCCAAGAAGTAAGCAGATTATCTCACAAAAAAGTACTTTCAAACTCCTGGTGCCAGACTGTGAAGCTTTTCATGTCTGAGTCAACAGAGATTGCAGATCAGTCAAGCAAAACACAGGCTCCCAAGGAGCACACAGGGAAAATGGAAAGACACCCAAGGGAAGATCGCAACATTGGGAGGGCAGTTCTCCTCACCCAGGGACAGCAGGTTCCTGCAGGTCTCCAGCATCACGTCCCTGTACAAGGCCCTCTGAGCAGCGTCCAGGCACTCCCACTCCTCCTGGGAGAACTCGATGGCCACATCCTCGAAGGTCAACTGTCCGTGAAATGAAAACACATTTCACCAAGTATCCCCATGAGAAGAGCTCTTATTTGCACACAAGATGAGAAGAGGAGAGAGGGGTGAGGATCAAGTCAGCTAAAGTGTGTGTTCTGACAGATCCGTGGAAAGGTATTTGGATTAAATTCTGGGTCTCCAACTCTAATTTCTCATGCCTTTTCATAGAGATTATGATATCCTCCAAGCAATGTGGATTTTTCATTTCGGGGGAAAATACACAAAATAAATACAACTAAAAATCAACTATGGCTTGTCTATGCAGGAGTATTAGATATTACATGTCACACACTGAGTGATACTCAGTATCTAGAAGCGCTACAGGCTGAGTGGTGTCTTCAGAGATGACAACGTCCACAGTGGCTTCATACAAAACTAAATTATGAAGATGATGGCAAGAACAATGACTAAAGGTGTCTGAATACTTCCTATATGCTAACCATTACTCTACATGTTTATAGGTGAGAACTTTTTATCAACAAGATAGCTCACTGGAGGAAGATCTGTTCCAATCTTACAGAAGAGAAGTATCAGAGAGACACTAAGGAACTCCACTTGAGGAAGAAAATGAGGAAGACACAGCAAACACATGAACTAAGGTGGCTGGGCTCCTGAACTGAAGAAACAAAAACTTAAGTAACAGAAAAGGCATGAAAAGTACATTGACACAAGTTTCCCTGAGAAAACTTGAAAGTAGTTCAAGGCAAACAACATGAAAGGGCATAATCAATGAAACAGAGCAGAACACCAGAAATTACCCTGTGAATACAGGTAAACAGGACAGACAAGGGAGCCCAGACGACACAAAGGCGAAAGGACAGAGTCAACAACAAATGGAGCTGAGAAACTGGGTATCTACCAGCAAAAGGATGGAGCTGGGCCCCTTCCTGCGTGAAAGGCAAGAACTTCTGAGTGTCAAAGAATACAATCCACAGAATGAAAAGACACCTTCTTAAAAACAGAGGTGATGAAAGCAATTTAAAAAATTCCCAAATGTCAGAGAGTGAGCTTTATTTCACGGTTAAAAATCGATGATGGAAGAAAACACCCTGTGTCACTGATGTCTCTGGCTTTCCACTCTGTTCACAGTCATTAAGATTTAAGTCTGTGACTCAGTCATGTAGCTCAACTCTCTTAGAAAACACAGAACAAATCTTCCCTAATTGGTCTGATTTCCCCATTTTACTACGTATTGTGCATATTACTACCTGATTTCCCCATGCAGCTTCTTTCTCTGGTTTACAGAGAGCAGACAGCACATCCAGATGGGCCCCTAAACCCTCCCTGCTGCCCCACAGCACTGACTCCGCGTCTCCAACCCACGGGGGTGAAGCCCACCCAGGACGCCGCCCAGGGAGCCGCTTCACACGTTCCAGGTCCCGGGGTCCCGGGGGTGGAGTCTGAGTGGGGAGGACAGGCGCTGAGGGGGGGCCCTGGGTGACTGTGGATGTACAGGTGTCAGGCAGGACCTGCAGAGTCAGACAGGATTAGCGAGTCCAAAGGGCATTTCAGGAAGGACAGACTGAGAATCCAGTGAGAATATGACTTTACCTGAGAAACAGCCATTCCTGACTCCTTTTTTTGCTCTTCCTCTTCTGGACTTTTCCTTCAGGAAAGGCGAGTCTTTAGAGGTCAATCCTGAAAGTTGGAAAAATGTCCTTTAATGCTGAGAATCAACACACCCCTCCCTGCGCCACAACCACACACACAGGGGAGACCTCACCATGTGGAACAGACAGTCCTCTGCTGCCCACTGTCCCAGGAGGGACTCAGGACAGGAATCTCCACACACACACCAACAAGGGAGTTTCCCCACACTGTCCTCAGATCAGCCTCCCCTCCTGGTGAGCCCCTCCCCTACACGGCAGCAGTGGGCACCTCAGCTGGACCCGATAGCCCCCTTCAGGTCACAGACCAGGCCCTGATCCATCCCCACGCAGAGCAGAGCCCCCTCCACCTCAGTCCGGATCCCAGCCCTCAGGATGGGAGGACTCAGAGTCAGGATGCTCAGTGAGGGACCCAGACTGGAATCACGAGGTCCCTTAAATATCACTGAGGTTGGAACTCACTATATGAAGGGGACTCCCTGGTCAGAAGATAAAAACATCTATTTGAAACATGTCTGACTGACCTAATGTGAAGCCTGGGTCGAGGGGAGCCCAGCACACCTCCCACTTTCTTTTTCTTTCCCAGCTTGAGATATAACTGGTGCACAACAATGGCGTACATATGAGGTGTATAAAGTGAGCATCTGACAAATGTCTACACTGTGTAATAATTACCACAATAAAGTAATTTACATTTCCATCACTCACTACTATTTTATTTCTGTGTGATCAGAACACTTAGTGCTGCTCTCAGCAAACTCCAACTATATAGTAACACAGTATGACTGACGGTAGTCAGTTCACGGTACATTAGATGCACATGTTGAAAATATTTCCCTCAGTACAAAGATTTCCTTTCCCTTGGAGATCTAGACACAGGTGGGTTTCACACACTGTATGCTTGTTCTATGTCTAATTTATTTGGGAACCTCCATACTAGTTTCAAAACGAGCCGTACCATTGCACTCCCAGCCACAAAGCACAAGGGTTCCCTCTACTTTGTTTTTTGTGTGAGTGTGTGCGCGCGCGTGTGCACACATACACGCATGTGGGCACACCTATTTTGAGACAGATGAGGAGAGGACAGTAGAGGAATCAGCGCTGACGGGCAACAAGAAGGCAGTACCCACATTTTCCCAAGGATGAGCTCTGCACTCAGATCCCTGTGGTGTTGCTGGCCCTCTGATTCTGGGAACAATCTTTTCCTACATCAAAAAACTTAATGGTCCCTCTCAAGCTGTGTCCACAGGCACACACCTAGCAGAATGTCCCTAATGCAAACATCCAGCCATTTAAAGTTGATATACATAATTTCCCTTTTGGAACCAAATTAACTTACAAAGTCTCAGGGGGCCAATATAGTGTCCATACAACACTTAATATTCCACTCATCTGGCTATAAAATACCAGAAAACATTCCAAACTGTAACAAATCATGCCAGAGGGAAAAATACATATGAAGACACTCAAGGAGCCACTTAACGCAAAACAGAATATTTTCATTCCAGAGATCACAGACCAAACACTGTCATCTCCAAAAACTACATATAAAAAGACAGATGTTTCCGGTGATGGACGTGCTCCAGTGAGAACACAACATCTCTCAAAAAAAATTTCAAATTGCCTTTTGTATCTTTCAAAGTGCATCTCACGCTTTGTTCATTTGTAACCGAACATACCAAAAATTACCAGAAGGAACACACAAAATGATCACTGAAATTGTTCCTATGTAACTCCAAAAACTGTGCAATGATCCTTGAGCTGCTAAAAGATCCAACACAAGTCATCTGCGAAGTGGATGCTGTGGGGAACTCCCTAGATCCATACCCTGAGGGCAAGGCAATGAATGCCCAATCACCCATGAACCCCATTCCAGGGGCTCCAGCCAAAACTGAGACATCCCTTGCTCTCAGTTCCACATCGTGGAGCCCACAAGGGACAAGGCGCTCACACTGCTCACTTGGATCATCCTGACGCCCACACTGGCTGCCAGGTCCCGTCTGCAGACCCCACAGGCTCCCCTCCGCTTTTCCCATTTCTTCATCTCTCCTCCATGCAAGCATGGGAAACAGGGCAAAAGGCACAAGGACCTCTCAGCCAAGGAAGAGCAACAGAAATATTTACAAGCTGCCACCCAAAGGACACTGGACATTGAGTATGATGGTCAGGAAGCAGGCCCTCCTGGGAAAACTTACTAGCAGCTGGGGAACTGATGGAGACCAGTCACAAAGGCATTTGAGTTCAGTGAGGAAGTCTCAGAGACAGTCGGTCCCCAAGTTTCTTGTCTCCTGTTCTCCTCACTCACAGGTAATTAAAAGATACCTTAGCTCTTTGAGGGAGGCCACCATCATGCTCCCTTAGGCTCCAGACTTCTACCCACCCTCAGCACAGTGAGATCACTACCCCCGACTCTGAGCGGATGAAATACTGAAGGCAAGGCTCCCAACAAGGTGGCAACGGGTCCCTGGATGCGCACAGCCTGGAACACCTGGGGGCTACAGCACAGCAGTGACACAGCACAGTTAATATGGGGACACCTCAGGACACTGCATGAGGACATCAGTTCTGCTGGGATTTTTAGTACTCCCTACATCTCTGAGTCATCTTTTTAGCAATTCAGTAGCCACACGAGGTAAGGATCAATGAGAGCTGAAACGTGCAGAACAAATATAGGAACCATTCGCATCACCTACCCTGTTCCCTTGGTCTCCCCTGAGGACAGTTCACCCCAACCCACAGCCCCAGCATCTAATCACCTCCCCAGAGTGAGGTGCTGCGGCCATCCTGGGAGGAAGAGGAACACCATGAGCCCTTCAATGGGGGGAGAATGGGAAAGGCTCCAAATAATCCATGGAGAAGGGCACTTGAAGGTGATTGAAACAGAGGCAATGAAACCTGGGTATCATAACAGAGACTGTCAGAAGGGGATGGGGACACCTCTCTGAGCTAAAACCTGAGGGAGGACAAAGGGCCTGAGCCATGGAGACTTGAAGGCAAAAGGTAAGAACAGGAACTGATATCTCAGAATAGGTTTCAGTGTTTGAAAACATTGAAAAGGTGAATGTAACTTGAGCAGAGTGATCCCTGAGATCAGGGTGAGCTCCCAGGATAAGCCTGGAGACACTGGCAGGGCCCGGAGGATGACACAGGGCTGTGGAGCCACAGTGAAGAGTCGGGATTTGGGGGAGGACAAATGAGAACCAATGGAGATCTGAGTGCAAAAGTGACATAAACTCTCTTCAAACTACACTGAGTGCAGAGAAATCCATCTGAGGACTGTCTCTCCGACTCTCAAGTCTTATGGGTTACACCCTTCTATCCATGCTATCCCTTCCTCTCCACTCTCGGGCACCCCAGGCGGCTGGGCTTCCTTCCCGCTCTCGCTCTCCCTCTGCTTTTTCTCACCCTTTGGCCTTTTTCTCTCCCAGGACCAAGACGCTCTGAAGGCCAAGGTTCCACGTTTTCTCCTCTCCCTCACTCTCTGTGAACTGCCTCACCACTGCTACCCACTTCTACTCATGATCCAGGACCCCGCTCCCTATGTTGCGGTCTAATTGCAGGAGATCTGGATTTTAAATTTACATCTCTATTTTGTTCCCATGCCTTTTTTCGGATGTCTTTCTTTTTACTGTCTCTTTGCACGTCCTCAGCCATCTTTTACGTTCCCGTTGTTTCGCGCTCATTCTTTTCTCCTTCTCAGAGTTTATATTTATCTATAACTCACTGATTCTTTGGCTTTCCTGACCCCCTCGCCCACGTTACTTATAGGAACGAAGACTGAATAAGGTGCCCTCCTACCAAAAGAGCCAGTTTTCCAGCAGGGTGGAATATGGGACGGAAGAACCATGAGTGTCACACGGCTGGCCCAGGTCACCTCCCCCTTCGCGGGGTGGGGGAAGGGCTGACTACGAAGGGAAGGCCCGCGGAGCAGAAGGACCGGCCTGAGGAGGACGCGAGGACAGAGGGGCTGGAAGGGAGGGGGTCTCAGGAGAGGCCGGGGTCCCCAGAATCCCGGGACCCAGGAGAGGACGCGGCCTCACGGGGGCGGGGCGGCCGGCGCTGCCCTCCGGGGACCGAGAGGGCGAGGCTGGGGGCGCGAGTCCACCTCGCGGAAGGGGACGTTACACGGGCAGGGGCGGAGGGGGTGAAGGGTTTTATGAGGGAAAAAATCAGGAATGGCGGAGTCTCCGCGACCAAAGGTAGAAAAGCCAAGGGCAGAGACCAGCCTCAGACCGGTTTCAGACCCAAAGGAGAAGATCCCCGACCTGGAGCGGCGCCGTCGGGACTTATGTGGCGGGGGGGGGCGGGTGCTGGGGTGAGAGGTCCCTAGTGACTCCCACACCCTGAGGACGGAGGAGGGGGGACAGAGCAGCACAGATTTACATTAGAAAAGAGGAACTTACGGTCCGCTGCGTGACCTTCCCTCGGCGTCTCTCCACTTCCGGTTCTGTAAGCATCTGCACAACCGCGAAAAGAGGGGCGCGACTTCCGGGGGGCGGGGCCAGGGTAGCGCCACCGGCGGGGCGGGGCTAAGAGGGAGTCAGGTTTACACAGGGACAGGCGGGAGGCTGGGCAGGGGACTCTGGGAGGCCGGGGGAGGAGATAATGCTTCCCGTTGTCTTGACCCCTTTGGTTTTAAGTCCCAGACTGGAAGAGTTTTCCAGTAAAAGCTTACAGTTATGTGGGCGGCTAAACGTGGAAACTAAGATGTCTTGCTCCTGAGGCTCAAGCAATCCAGTGGCTGGGAACGTGGGTCCCCACGTGGTTGCTGTGGGGCCGTGGTTGGATCCCGGAGTATTTACTGCACGTAGAATTCGCTTAAGGCTGTTTAAGGGAAAGAGAGCTACACTTGTCTCTATTATAAACTAGAATGAGAAATACAAAACTCTCCCCCAGTAGAATGGGCCATTTCATACTGGATTCATTTCTTTTCCTAATTCAGCCAGGAGTCCAGCTCAACGCGCCTCAGTCCTGGGAGTAGGTATGCAATACTGTTTAGGTGAATTGCCCAAGATGATTTTCCACATGTTTCTTGAAATTTAACGTGTGGAGGTGTTTGTCAAGTTATAAATAGGAGTCGTAAGTTTCCAGAAAAATCAAATTGAAAGGCCAGAAGAAAATTGTCTATTTGAACTTACAGTTGGAAGCATATCCAGATTTCTGAACAGAAGTTTAATTCCATTTTGTGGACCCTATATTTTATTATATATATATTTTCAATTGAAGTATACTTGAATTACAATATTGTCTTAGCTACAGGTGTACAGCATCATGACAAACTATTTTTATAGGCTTTAATTCATTACAAGTTATTTCAAAGTCATGGCTGTGATTCCCTGTGAAGTACAAAATGTTGCCATGGTAATTGCTTAATTATGTTACATATAGCAGTTTGGATTTCTTAATCTTCACTGCTATCTTGCCCCTCCCCTCTTGCTTTTCTCCACTGATAACCTCGATTGTTTTCTATATCGCTGAATCTGTTCCTGTGTGGCTATATACATTTTTTGGTTTTAACTTCTACATTCCAAATGTAAGTGATATCATACTGCCTTTCTCTTTGATGTGTCTCACTAAGCCTAATATCCTCTAGGTCCATCCACGGTGCTACAAAAGGCAACTTCATTCTGTTTTATAGCTGAGTGGTATTCCATTCCGTGTGTGTGTGTGTGTGTCTGTGTGTGTCTGTGTGTCTCACTTCTTTATCCATCTGTTGTTGGGCACTTGGCTTGCTTCCTGGGCTACTATACACAGCACTAGTAAGAACATTGGGGTGTATCTATCTTTTTGAATGCGAGGTTTTTTTTCCAGGTATATATACAGGAGTAGAGTTGCTGGGTCATATGGCAGTTCTATTTTCAGTCGTTTGAGAAACCTCACTTTCTGAATCATGTATTTTATTATTTGCTTAGAGAGACTGCTTTGCCCAATTTACATATTTAGCTTGGATTTCTTGACTTGGCTTCAGTGAAAAACCCAGAGGATGTATAAATCAAGGGCTTGTCTTCAGATTTGTGTGGCATGGAAATGTACATACAGGAACAACAGGTGCAAAATTTGAGTTCTATAACCATGAAGATAGAAGCTTCTCACATTTTCAGCTTCACTGAGAGGTGCAATGATACAACGTAATGTACTGAATGTTAAAAATGGGGACCAAGAGACTTGTTGCTAAGGTGCAGGTGCATCACTAGGACTCTGGAAACACAACGTGTTAATTGTACCTTAAAACACACTCTCCAATTTGTCCTGATCATGCCACTGTGTCTACCATCATGTCTTCCTTCCATTCATACAACAGAACTATTATCTGAATTCAAAATGCAGATAATAGCCAGTGCTTCTTTGATTGCATAACTTCCACACAATAGGATGCACCATTTTCATGTGTACAATATAGTGTGATTTAGTATGTTTGCAAGTTGTTCAACCACAATATTATCATCATACATCACTCTCTCTTAAAGAAAATGTTCAGCAGCAAGGCATTCATTGAATGAATTGATACAATCACACCATAAATTAGTATAGAGACATTGTGTTATTTATATGTATTTAGTTATAAAGGAAGCTTGATTTTCAAACACCTGACTATAGCCAACTCCCATAAAGATTTCACATCACCATTTTGTGATTCCAGTGCTTTCACTTAAGCGCAGTTCCAAGGCAAATATTTCTTCATGTTTATAATGCACCTTCTTTCTACAAGTCATTTCCTTACGAGCATTATCATGTCACAAGACACCCAAAATAACTCACTGATTTATGTATTTCCCTGTTGTAAAATACAGGAAAAACACAAGGAAGAGAAAAAAATGCTAAGAAAAATTTTATAAACATATTTTATTGCAATGGAAAATTAACCACGTAACATATCATCTGATCCCATAATTTAAAATTCAAATTTTAAGTCTTTTGATAATTGTTTCTCTAGTATGTTGCTAAGTTATATTATCTAGAAAACATTCCGAGACACTAATTTTTAGCAACCTAGTGTAAAAGTCTTAGGCAATATATCTAAGGAAGATTTTTTTCAAACATTTGAAACAACTGTATTGAACAATGGGATGTTTCTCCACTGACAAGTATTAAACCTCATCACAACCTCTTCCTACTTCGCCTGTGTGATCAAGGTGACAAAACAGCCTGAGAGCTTCCACTTTTGAGCAACTTTAACCAACGGGAACTTCAAACCCTAAGTGGGCATGCTCCCCTAAGCCCCCACCTAGCAATAACATTACCAACTAAGACAGTCACCATTACTTGTTTCTTCATATCATTTTTGGAACAACTTGAAACTCCCCCATCGCCTGAGAAATCTGAATTATAGAACATTCTCATAACAATTGAATGTTAATATCACTCTGAATGACCAAACCAACCTTTGGCTGGAGGTCCATCCTAATCCAGTCAATGACCACAAAAGCAAATCAGCAACAACAATACTTTTGCAAGATATACGAAATTCCTAGTTTATCTATCAAATAAACATGTTCCTACTGTACGTGGTTCATTTTTAAAAGAAAATTCAGGAATACTGTTCTTCTCTAATTTCTGTACTCAGTTGGTCAAGGACAAAAGAGAAACTACAACTTTTAAAATTTCTACTATTTTTCATATGCTTACTGTATTCCTATTTTCCCTGCATGTAAATTTAGATGCATGTCATGAGACTGATTTGGATGGGGAAAACAACACAGGAAGAAATATATTCATACTGAATATTCAGGACTAAGGAGCAGCTTTTATGGAGTGTTTCAAAAAAAAAAAATATTCCCAAGGTGGAGTCACTTACCCACAAGATAGCAAACCAAGACTTAAATGTAGCTTCAGCCCTCAAAGAAATAGGACAGTAAACCAATCACTGTCAACTGTCCTGAACGCCAGAGGTAACCTACAAGGTAAGACTTCTGTCCTTCCCCTAAACAAGGTAGCCTTGCCTGAGAGAACCTTTCCTTTTACCAATAACTTTCTATCCCACCCAGTTTATGCCTGAAAAGGCTTTCCATAGTGTACAGCTCCTTGGAGCATCTCTTTATGTAGGTGGGGTGCAGCCCAATTCACAAATCATGCAATAAAACCAACTAGATCTTTAAATGTACTCTCTTCAATTTTTGCACATTATTCGGAGTCTGAAATAAACTGCTCTGCCACTCAGACTCTTCTGATTAACTTTTCCTCTCATGGTAATTGCTCTCCCCTCAAATTCCAAAAGTAAGAGGAACTTTCCACTAAACATACATATCTACACCACCTACTCCCAAACGATGGAGAACGTGACCAGCTTTCCCCGAGCCTTGTTCCCACCACATAACCGGCCACGCTCCTCCTGTGAAAGAGCCAGTCCCTGGACGCCCTGCTGCTCTGCTCATGGGCGGGGGGTGGGGGGGAGCTTTCTGCGCTGTAGCCCCCTGTGGTCTGTCTACAGAAGGGCACCCTGAACACGCGTCTGCTGAGTCAAGTCAGTTTTACATTAGTCTCCGACCCTCCCTGATGCTAATCCACACAATATTGAATCTGATAATTCAGAGTGCTGTTTTTCCTGGGAACTTGGACGTGAGTTGCCGTGCCTGATGAAGTTTGCCCCTTCATCTTACTGATTCCTTCCCAGGGAGAAAAAACAAAGGCCTATAATGTAGGAATCAACAGACTTCAAACTTCAGGTTGAGAGGCATGAAAAGTAATGTACTCATCTCCAGGAAACTGAAATACAGTTTAGACATGGAAGATAATGGGTCATTTCCACATGTCCTTCTGCCTCTTATACAAACATCATGTCATCAGTTTTAACCTGTTGTGACTTGTAATGATTCTGCAGTTGGCTGCATTTCAGAGAAGTAAAAACTGATTTCTTCCTAGTATGCATTCTCTGACAGGTAGTCTGTTGTAATTATTGCTCAAAAAATTCACAAAATTCATGACATTTGTAAGGATTCCTGGAATAGGAGTTCTTCAGGGAAACCAAAGGATAGTTTCTTAAAATTGTTTCCATGTTCAGTGTACCTGTGCACTTTCTGACCTGTAAGGATTTTCTCATTATACTAGAGCAGTTGTGACATAATGAAAAACGTTACAACATTCAGTTTGAAAGCTTGTTTTCCAACAGAAATTCTGTGTTTCACATAGTTGATCTTCAGGTACAAGCCTTAGCACACATACTGTTTAGTGAGGTCTCTCCCCAAACTGTATATGCTTAAGTCTAGTGGACTGTGAGACTGCATACATTTTCTACCATATGATACGATAGCTGTTCAACACGGACTTTCTCCTGTTGCCTAAGAAACAGAACTCAAGCTAAAGGTTTAGCCACACCATTACATTTGTAAGGTATCACGCCAGTATGTCCCGCAACTTGTGGATCTTTGGGTAAATTCCTCACCACACACATTTGTGTGGTTTCTCTCCAGGATAAATATTCTAATCTCTAGTGATGAGTGAGGAGTATTATGAAACTGCTATTTTCATTGCATTTTTAAGTAAGATGTGTATGGTGAACCCCCTGCTTTAAGGCATGACCCAAAAGCTTTGCTACATTCAGAACATCTCTAACGTTCTGTCCAGTATGGACTACCTGGTGACTGCTGAGAGGTGAGCCTCAAATTAGGACTTTTCCCATTCAGGGCCTCTCTGATCCCCAGAATGCCTTCTCTGCTGAATGAATCCCCTGTCTACAGGCCTGGTCACACAAAACCCATGTATCTGATTGCCCTCCAGGACGGCTGTTCCACTGAAGCTTAAGATGTACACACCTGCTAAAGCCCTTACTTAACGTTCCTCACCAATAGGGATTCTCTGGCTCTAAGTTAGGCTTCAAAGAACAATGAAGGATTTGCCACACATATTATGTTTGCAACGTTCCTCTAGTAGGAATTTATGGTGGACCTTTTTTACCTGAGGCAGTTGACTTACAATATTGCTGGTTAACTCTGATGTATGAATTTTGACTGAAGACATTGAGACATTCATTCCATTTCTATGATTTCTGTCCACTATGGATTATCTGACGGTAAGTGAGTCTTTTTCACATTCATAGTACGTCCATCATTTCTCCGCACAATGACTCTCCTGTGAATTTAAAGTGTCAATTTTGAATGATGGCTTCCCATGTAAATCATATTGATGTGGTTTCTCCTGTGTATCTACTCCCTGAGGCGTAGTGAGGGTTGAGATGTGAGGAAAGGCTTTTCAACACTCGTTACTTTTGAAAGGTTTCTCCTCACAATGAGTTCTCCGATGCCTTGCAAGGTGTAAATTTTGACCAAAGCCTTTCCCACATACATCACATTTTTAGGGTTTTTCTCCTGACTGGATTAGTTGATGTTCTGTGAGATGTGAGCCTTGATGTGAGGTTTTGAAACCCTTATTACGTTTATAAGGTCTCTGACCACAATGAATTCTCTGATGATTGTTAAGGTTTGTTTTTGTGCTAAAACCCTTGCTGCACTCATTACATTTGTAAGGTTTCTCTCCAGTATGAATTCTCTGATGTTTTGCAAGCTCTGCTTTGTGATTAAAGGCACTGCCACACTCATTACATTTATAAGGTCTCTTTCCAGTATGAATTCTGTGATGAATTCTGAGGGTTGATTTATACCTGAAGACCTTGCCACACTCACAACATTGATAAGGCTTCTCTCCAGTATGAATTCGCTGATGGTTTGCAAGCACTCCTTTGCGACGAAAGGCCTTGCCACACTCACTACATTTATAAGGTCTCTGTCCAGAATGAATCCTCTGATGATTGCTAAGGTTTGCTTTTACGCTAAAGACCTTGCTGCACTCATTACATTTGTAAGGTTTCTCTCCAGTATGAATTCTCTGATGGTTTGCAAGGACTCCTTTGCGACGAAAGGCCCTGCCACATTCATTACATTTGTAACGTCTCTCTTCAGTATGAATTCCGTAATGACTTCTGAGGGTTGATTTACACCTGAAGACCTTGCCACACTCACTACATTGATAAGGTTTCTCTTCAGTATGAATTCTCTGATGACTTCCAAGGGCTTTTTTGTAACAAAAGCCCTTGCCACACTCGTTACACTTGAAAGGTCTCTCTCCAGTATGAATTTTCTGATGAATTGCAAGATTTCCTTTATAGCGAAAGACTTTGCCACACTCATTACATTTAAAATGTTCCCCTTCATTATGAATTTTCTGATGAACTGCAAGATTTCCTTTATATCGAAACACTTTGCCACACTCATTACATTTAAAATGTTTCTCTCCAGTATGAATCCTCTGATGAATTGCAAGGGATGAATTTCGACGGCAGCTTTTTCCACAGACATCACATTTATATGATCTTTGTCCTGAATGGACTACTTGATGTTGCCTGAGATGTGATCTCTCACAAAAGCTCTTGCCACACTCACTGCATTTATAAGGTCTCTCTCCAGAATGAATCCTATCATGCTTTGCAAGACTTTGAATGAGACTAAATACCTTGCCACACTCATTACACTTGTAAGGTTTCTCTCCAGTATGAATTCTCTCGTGCCCGTGAAGAGTGTCTTTATGATTAAAGACCTTGCCACACAAATTACATGTGTAACGTCTCTCACGAGTATGAATTCTCTGATGTCTTGCAAGTTTTGAATGAAAAGGGAAGACTTTTCCACATACATCACATTTATATAATTTCTGTCCTGAATGGATGATTTGGTGTGTACTGAGGTATGACTCTTGGAGAAGAGCTTTGCCACTCTGAGTACTTTTGTACAGTCTTTCACTGTGTGTCTTCAGGTCTCGTGTCAGTACTGGAAGATGCATAAAATCACTCCCATCTATTTCAGAAATGTTAGTTTGGAAACTAGCAGAATTTCCTAGAAGTTGTGAAAATGAGGCACTACTGTTGCTTGTCTTGTCAGCTTCATTAAATAAATCAATTTTCTCTTCACTTTTAAAACTATGCAGTTCATTCTGAAAGCTTAATGCAAGTCTGTTTCCCATGGGCTTGGTTCCTGCACCACTTGTGCCACGTTGGTCTCTCTCTTCACGGAGATTTCCACTACCGTTTACAGACGTTCCTTTGTAATTTCTTTCCTCATCTCTCTGCTGAGAGTCACTGTCATATGAATTTTCCTGGATGCTCCTGGGGTCAAAATGTTTTCTTTCAGTCCTTTCATGTCTTTCTGTCATCGCTGTTTGGAGTAATTTTTTATCCATATTTGCCTTCACTTGTAATTTCTTGATCACAAGTATATGAGACATATCTATAAAGAACCATAAGTACCCTATTCATTAAATTCATCAGTAAATGTTTAACATTAAATACATGATAGTACACTAAAAGTAGTGCTTATACCAAACAGAGATATAAAGCCACCTAGCATGATCTTGTAAGTTTTAGGAACACAGAATACTAGGATTCTTTACCAAAAATAAAGTGATCAAAGGTAATTCTAATAATTTCATGACAGCCTAGTTTCAAACAACCTATGACAAAGGACACAAATGGAACAAAGTTCTTTTTCCTATCAAAGAAATTATTTTTCCTTGGTAACTCCAAATCACATACTAATTAACAGTAGATACAGCTGTTTCATAATTGAGGATGAAACTATTATTCTACATAAATTTTGCATACTTACTGTAAAGGAAGAATTGCTAAGGAAGAGAAAATAGCCTGTGAAAGAACGTATCTAAAGGGATAGACTAGGATTTCAAAATTGTAGAATACATAAGCAAGATTACACTGTATATTTGACACAACATTGTAAAATGATTATAAATCAATAAAAAATGTTAAAAAAACAAACAAAAAAGATTACACTGTATAGCACGGGGAAATATACACAACATGTTATGATAAATCACAGAGAAAAAAATGTGACAATGAGTGTGTATATGTCCATGAATGACTGTAAAATTGTGCTGAACACTGGAATTTGACACAACACTGTAAAATGATTATAAATCAATAAAAAATGTTAAAAAAAAAGAACACATCTAGCATTCTGAGTAATAACTAAAATTCATGGCAGTTTAGAATAGGGAAACAAATTCAGTAGAGAAAAAATTAAGAATTTCACAAACGAATTAAAAATAAAAATTTTTTTCAAAATACTTCCTAAGAAAAAATACACCCATAAGTTGGGGAGATGAAATATTTCCTTCAAGGGTCTTCAATAAAAATAAACTTTTGTTTGCCCAACGAAGTCTCCACTGTGAAAAGAGGACTCCAAACACTATTAATGCTGTGGCTTCCTCTCTACCCTCTGAGAGCTGACCTGTGTTCACACTTTTCATACATTCTGACCTATTGGGGTGTTTTTTCTTTTTTTTTTTTCTTTTTTTTTTCTATTTTCAAGTCTCCTCCCATAGTTTAGGGCTCTTTGCTATTCCCCCCCAAAACGGAGATAATATTCAGATCAGAAACAGAAACCCTTGACTATCAGAAGAAAGAACTGCAAAGTGCTGTATCTTGTCCAGAATCACAACTCTCTTCTTTAGCTGAGGAGTGAGGACTCTTCAGATGTGTCTGGGAAAATGGTAACTTCCCACCACATGCCTCCTGAATATATAGAGACCAGTGTGGTATGCAAGTATCTAGCTCTCTTCCTAACAATACAGAGTGAAGAGCCAAGATAGAAGGCAGAAGACAGGAAGCTGGGAATTCTTTAAGAGTTTGCCATTGAGCTTAATTGATAATTCAGCCCTGGAACAACCCCTAATATAACATGAAAAGGGCAGATCATCTGAAGAAAGGGTCACTTTAAAGCCACTGTACTATATCATGTCTGAGACAACAGGGCTTTCAGATCAACCAAAACAGGGGCTCCCAAGTGGTACACAGGGGAAAATGCAAAACACCCAAGGGCAGATCTGAACTTCAAGAGTGAAGTTCTCTCACCCACGGACAGCAGGTTCCTGCAGGTCTCCAACATCACGTCCCTGTACAAGGTCCTCTGAGCAGGGACCAGGCACTCCCACTCCTCCTGCGAGAATGTGATGGCCACATCCTCGAAGGTCAGCTGTTCCTGAAATGAAAACGTATTTCACCAAGGGGTCAAGAGGAGAGTTCTTATCTCCATACAAAGTGGAAAGAGAGAAAGGTTAAGGATTGTTTCAGGTGAAGTAAGTATTCTGACAGATTGAAGTTAAGTATTTGGACCAAACTGTGTGTCCCCGTTATATTTTTTAATTTTTCTCTTTCCTGCTTTAAATTGTTCCATGTCTTCCTATGAGACAATGATATCATCCAATTAATAGAGATTTGTTGTCTGTGTAGATAATCCATGACACACATGTAAATAAGACTCAGCGAGTTGTCTATGCCACTGCAGTAGATTTTCTGTCCTACACACAGAGTGACAGTCAATATCTAGATGAGCTACAGAATGAGTGGTGTCTTCAGAGATGACAAAGTCCACATCGGCTTTACAGAAATGTCAAAATCTCAATTATAATGATGATAACAACAACAATGATTAAAAGTGTTGGAATACTTCCTTTAGGCTAAACTCAAAAAAAGTAATTTAGAGGCATGAATTTTGTTATCAACATAATATCTCATTAGGAGAGATCTGTTCCCTTCTTACAAAGGAAAAAACTGTGTCACAGACACACTGAGAAACTCAAATCAACTCGAGAAGCTAAGAAATGTCACAGCAAGGACCTGAACTCAGAGGTTTGGGCTTGAAATTCAACCTTAGGATTCAAAACAGTGAAGGTACAGAGAAATTCTGGAGAGGCTTTGGAGAAATGGAAACCCTACACTGTTGGTAGGAATGTAATTTGGTCCAGCCACCATAAAACACACTACAGACATCCCTTAAAACCTTAAAATGGAGGTACCCTTTGATCCAGCAATCCCACTCCTGGGCACTGATCAGAAGAAAACTCAAATGCAAACTAGACATGCATCCCAAGGTGCACAGCAGCAGCATTTACAGTAGCGGAGACATGGAAGCAACCTGAATGTCCTTTGACAAAGACTAAATAAAGGCGGCGTGGAATATCCAGAGTGAAACACTACTCAGCCTTAAAAAAAGAATTAAATGCCAGTGGCAGCAACATGGATGGGCCTAGGGATTATCATACTAAGCGAAGTAAGTCAAAGACAGATACATATGCTACCACTCATATGTGCAATCTAAAAAAATGATACAAATGAATATATTTATAAAACAGACTCAAAGACATAAAAAACATATTCATGGCGACCAAAGAGGAAAGTGGGGGAGGGATACATCAGGAGTTTAGGATTAGCAGATACAAATTACTATAGATACAACAGAAAAACAAAAAGGTCCTACTGCATATAGCACAGGGACTATATTCAATACCTCAAAATAATCTTTAATGAAAAAGAATACTATATATGTATGCATAAGTGTATCACTCTGCTGCACACCATAAACTAACAAAAGACTGTAAATCAACTGTAACTCAATTTTAAAAAAGGAAACACTAGATGCATTCCTTCTGAAATTACACTCAAGTGAAGTGGCTTGGCCGGGGCTCCAGCCTCTCACCACTGTACAATGTGCCTCAGCAGGGACCAGTAGATGAAGTAACAAGAGGAAAAACAGACAGGGAGTGACACAGAGACACAGACACAGAGGGAGTGTGTCAGAGAGTGGGAACTGTTAACTCTCACAAATCTAAGGAGAGGGAAAAGCTAAAGCTGAAAGGGTGGGAGAACCCATCCCACCTAAAGAGAGCAGGAGACTACACTGTGGGGCCAAATGACATCCTTCAAAGTCCAACAGCCCCCGTTCCTGGGCTCTCAGAAGGCTGCCTGCCATCACCCCAAAGATAAAGTATGTTCTGTCCTGGGTGTGTTCGCCCCAACAAACTAACAGCCCCAGGTAACACCCAATCTCACACTAGCTCAGGCTGGCTTCTTTCAGGCTGGTCCCCAGCTTATCCATCATAAATCCCACAGCCCTTCACAACCCTGAGACTCTTACCTCACCTACAGCCAATCAAAAAACTTGGGCACAGCCCCCAACCCATTGACTTCACCAGCTCCTCCGCCCCGCCCCGAAAATGACCATGGACTTTCATCACAACATTCACACAGGCACACCTCGTGTGTGCAGTCCACTGCTGTCTATGGCAGTGTAACCTGATACTTTCCTTTTCTATTTCCAGTCTTTGGTAAATTCTTTTAGCACCCATGCACCTGTCCACTTTGTTCCCCAACATACATTGTATCAGGCAAAATGACAAAATAAAGACAAAAAATGACACAAGATACAAAAGATATTACATAATGTTAAATGAGTTCATTCACCAAGAAGATAAAAGAATTGTATGTTTATACTTAACATTTGAGCTTCCCCGAAAATGAAGCAAACTTTAACAGAAATGAAGAAAGAAACAGAATCAGCTCAGAAATAGTTGAGCACTTCAGTGATCCAGTTTCACTTCTGGATGGAACCAGACTGAAGATCAAAAGGAAACACAGGACCTGAACAACACTACAGACTGACTGGACATAACACACACGTACAGATCACTCCACCAACAGCAGCAGAAAACACGTGCTTCTCAAGCACACATGAAATATTCTCCATGACAGAGCACATGTTAGGCCACAAAAGAAATCCTAACAATTTTAAGACACAGTGGTCATAGAAGGTTAACTTCTTGTAACCACAATGAAATAAAACTAAAATAGGAGAAAGAAAAAGGAAAAATTCTGCAAAATATGAAAACTAAGCAACCAATTCTTAAACAATCTATGCGATAAAGAAGAAATCACACGAATATTCTTAAACATTTGGATGAAAATGAAAAGACAACATGCCGTAATTTATAACATGCAGCGAAGGCTGTGGTTAAAGGGAAGTCAACACAGCAAAATAGTTACAACAAAATGCAAAGGATTTCAAATCAGAAAACCATTTTTATATCTCAAGAAAGTAGAATGAGAAGGACAAACTAAATTCAACTTTAGCAAAGAAAGGGTGAAATAAGATTTGACCAAAGAACAGGAAAAGGAAATTAGAAACATTTAAATATCAACAAAGCAAGAGTTGGTGTTTTGAAAAAACTTAAATGGAAAAACCCTTAACTAGAAAACGAAAAAAGAAGAAAAAAATTATGAAAACCAGATATGAAACAAGAGACACTGCAACTGATATGGGGGGAGGGTATAGCTCAAGTGGTACAGCACATGCTCAGCCCCCAGGAGGTTCCTGGCTTCAGTCCCCAGTACCTCCTCCTCCAAGCGGAAATCAATGAAGAAACCTAATTACCTCCCCCTAATAAAAAACACAAACAACACAAGTAATTGATATTGAAGTCATACTTTAAAAGACTATAAGGGAATGTTATATACAATAATGCCTACAAGCTACATAATCTAGAACATTTTTAGAAACACACAACCTACTGAACCTTAATCATTAAAAAATAAAAAAGTTGAACCAAATTATGACTTGAGAGACTCAAGTAGTAATCAAATATCTAAAACAAAAAAACATCTAGGCTCACACAAGTGCACTGTAGAATTCTACTATTAAAAAAAGAATAATCTGAAAAAAAATTTATCTTAAATGCTGCTAAAAATTCTCGAGGCAAGATACTGAAACGAAATCCACAGAAAGACCCAACAAGAAAGGGGACCTAAAAATCAATACTCCTCATGAATACTGGTGCAAAATCCTTGACAAAGTACTAGCAAACCAACTTCAACAGCACATTCAAAATATCTGAATGACTGAACCCAGGACCTCGTGGGTGTTGAGCATGTGCTCTACCACTTGAGCTATATATACCCTTCCCCTATATCAGTTGCAATCTCTTTTGTTTGATATCTGGTTTTTGTTATTTTTCTCTTCTGTTTTTCTAATCTAGTTAAGGTATTTATTCTTATAAGTCAAGGGGGCCTCAATACACAAAAATCAATTCATTTGTTAGACCACATAAACATTTTAAAGAAAAAATGCCACACAGATCATCTCACCTGATGCATAAAAACCCATTCTGCAAAATTAAACAACCTTTCAAGATATTAGCACTGAACAAAATAGAAACAGTAAATGACTCAAAAGAATATATACCATTTATAGGGTGGGCATTAGCGGTAGAGTGCATGCCTAGCATACACGGGCTCCAGGGTTCAAACCCTAGTACCTAAAACAAGTAAATAAATAAACCCAACTACCTTCCCCAGAAGCAAACAAAAAAATGAATATGACTTATGAAACACATACAGCTAACATCACACAAAAAAGTTAAACAATGGAAGTTTTTTCCTCTCATGTCAGGAAGAAGTCAAGGATGTACACTCTCTGCACTACTGTTTCAAAAAGTACTGAAACTCCTGCCAGTGCCATTAGACAAGAAAAAGAAATCAAAGTTTTCAAAGTGAAAAACAAGTAAAATTAACTTGTTTCTTACATGATACGGTTATAAATGTATAATCTGTAAAGATTCCACAAGAAAACGGGTACATCAAATAATAATTTTAGAAAAGTCGCATAATACAAAACCAACATGCAAAACTCAGCTGCATTTCATTATACAATAAGCAATGTCAATAGAAAATTAGAGAAGAAAAGATTTAGCAAGTATTTAAAGAGGGATGAAATATTTAGCAATACATTTGCCAAGAAGGGTAACGTCTTATAAACAGAAAACTATTAAACATTCCTAAAAGAAATCCAAAAATATACACATAAATGGACAGAAAACCTGTACTCATGCACTGCAAGTATTAATACTCTTGAAATGTCCAAACTACCCAAACTCTTCTACACATTCAAGGAGTCATTAACAAAATTCCAATGGCTTTCTCTGCAGAAATAGGAAAAACACGCTAAAGGTTATAGGAAATTTCAAGTGGCCCAAATACCCAAAACGCTGGAAGAAGAAACATGGAGGCCTCCTTTTTCCAGATTTTAAAGCATCCTACAAAGTAATCAAGATGGTGCATTACTGGCATAGACACAGATACACAAATCAATGGAACAGAAGAGAATGCTCGGATACAATCCTTCGCATCTATTTAAAATGTACTGACAAGGACGTTAAGACTGCAGAGTGGAAAAAAGAGTCTCATAACAAATGGTGCTGGGAAACTGGGTATTTACCTGTAAAACAATGAAGCTGAAACCCTGTGTGCCAAAAAACACAACCAACACAGTGAAAAGGAAAAAAAGAAACAGAAGAATGGAGGTGATGAAAGTGATATAAAGAATTTCCAACCCTCAAACACTTAATTTCATAGTTTAAAACAGATGATGGACTAAAACACCCACTATCACTGATATCTCTTACTCATTATGATTTCAGTCACTGACTCACTCATTCAGCTTCGATTCTCTTAGAAAAAGTACCAACAAATTTCCCCTTATTGCTCTATTTCCAGATTTTACCAGGTATTGGGCACGTTAATACCAACATCTACATGCAGCTTCTATTTATTTTAATGAAGGTACTGTGGATTGAACCCAGGACCTCAGGTAAATATTGTTTTAAATATTTTGCTTTATTTATTTTTTATTTTGTTTTGGGGGAAGGTAATTAGGTGTACTTATTTATTTTAAACATTTGTGTCTCCCTTATCTTGATTCATAGATTGGACAGTGCATACAGGTGGGCCGCTACACAACCCTGCTGCCCAACAGCACTGACACACCAGTTGTTTGAATCCACTAGTGTGAAGCCCTGCCCAGCACAATGCTCAGTGGAGACTCTTCACACGTTCTAGGTCACTGGGTCACGGGGATGGAATCTAAGTGGAGATGACAAACACTGAGGAAAGAAGCTGGGTGACTGTGAATGTATAGGCGTTAGGCTGGATACTTCAGGGTCAGACAAGATTCGCAGGTCCAAAATAGGGCATTTTGGAAGGACAGACAAAACAATCAACTAATGTGGTATATATACACAAGTGAAAACTACTCAGCCAAAAAAGAATAAAATGTCATCTGTAGCAACATGGATGAATGTGGAGTTCATCATTCTAAGTGAACAACAGGAAAAAGAAAAAAATACTATAGGATATCACTTATATGTGGAATCTAGAAAAAAGAGTCTAAAAAAAAAAGACACAGATAAACTTATTTACAAAAGAGCAACAAACTTACAGACATAGAAAACATAGGGTTACCAGGGAGAATAGTGGGTGGGAAGGAATAAGTTGGGAGTTCGAGATTTGCAGATACTAACTACTATATAAAATAGATAAACAACTTTATACTGTATAGCACAGGGAACTATATTCAATACTTTGTAGTAACCTATAATGAAAAAGAACATGAAAAGGAATATGTGTGTGTGTGTGTGTGTGTGTGTGTATGAAGGCAACGTTATGCTGTACATCAGAAATTGACACAACGTTGTAAACTCACTATACTTTGATAATGAAGAGAAAAAAATCCACTCAGAATATGACTTTACCTGAGAAGGAGCCATTCCTGACTCCTCTTCTTTCCTCTTCCTCTTCTTCCCGACTTCTTCCTCAGACAAGTGGAGTCTTCAGAGATCAATCTTTCAAGCTGAAAACATTCGTTTAATGCTCCTAAGAAACATACCCACTTCCTGGGCCACAACCACATACATCGGGGGAACCTCACCACGTGGACTAAACAGTCCTCTTCTGCCCACTGTCACAGGAGGGACTCAGGACAGGTAACTACACACACAGACCAACCAGGGAGTTCTTCACATTTCTTGGTATCTCACTCCACTCGTGGTGAGGCCTACAAAGCGATTATTTGACAAGTGTACACACTGTGTAATAATTCTCACAAGAAAGTAATTTATACTTCTGTCAACTCGAGATTACCATTTTGCCTCTATGTGGTGATTCCAAGTATACAGTCGCACTATGAGAGTAACTACAGTCAGCAGGCTGTACATTAGATGTGCAGGTTGCACTATTTTATTTTACAACTCAACGTTTGTAACCTTTGGCCTACATCTCCCCGTTTCCCTCTCCACCCAGCCCTCAGGACAACCTTTACACTCCAAGGCTCTATGAGTCTCACATTTCAGGTTTCCAAGTAGTGTCCTTCTTCTGCCCTAATACTGTCATAATTCATGGCTGACATAAATTTTCTGTCCACCCATGTGTCAATAGACATTTTAGCTCATTCTACATCTCAGCTGTCCTGAATAATGCAGTAATGCTCACTGGAGTGCAGGTATTTCCCTAAATAAAATGATTACGTTTCCTTTGAATATCTAGCCAGAGGTGTGTGATTTAAGCAAACAAACGTTAAGTGTATTACATTGTAAAGCCATCAATCAGTATGACGCAGATCAGTCAT